AAAAATGTTATGGGTAAAAACCACATAACGTATCTGATGTTTTATATCATTCAGATATATATAACCATCTATCCATATCTCCTATGGATGTAGATAGATAGAAAGTTATCCTAACAAATAGGATAATCAGGAAATCAAATTCAAATTACATGGGTAATTTGAATAGGCCATGGGTCATGTCACATGGGCGCCCAAATCTAAGTCCAATACCCTGCCTAATTTCCAACATCTCCTACTCGCACATGAGCTGGCATGACACTGCCACATCTCTATCTCAATCTCGTAAAATATTGAACAATCCCATACTAGCCAATGAACCATGCGACTGCTGAGAACACCTACATATGGGAGCTTTATACTAGAAACTCAAAATGAGCCAGCATAGAGACATCAACCCAAAAAGAATAGAAATAGTGTCTCATATACCCTAAACCCATCTAATTACGCCGGTCCAAAAAACATCTCTAATCCCTCAAAAGAGCATGTTTGACCCTCTCAATTCTTGTAATATATTCACACTCAATCCGCCTCTCATACAGAGCGACGTGAGTTATCGGTAGTGAATATACAATAGTGGTGTAATACTAGATGATCTTCCCTTTGCCCTCATGCCATTTAGTTTAGGATTGACTGCTTTCCCAGTGATGTCCCTTAAGGCCGAATCATAGTTGTAGCAATCCCGATTTTGACCCGTCTCTTGTGGTGTTTCGGGCTCGGGTTGGTATGGTTTTGAACATTTTTACATATCTTAGTTTCCCTTGTATTCCACTTATTTTTTGTTATCAAGTTATGGCGGTGTGTTTGGAGAGTTGCATCGGAAGTTAATTCTTTCATGTGTTTGCCACTTCGCTGAGTATGTCGGGGGTCAAGTCACCCTTTATATGGAATCTCAAGGAAATGCATATTCTAGCAACCTAATGAACGACGAGTTTGACCCTGACCATGATTTTACCACTGAATCTCCTCAACAAGAGAGTCAATCTTTATCATTCTCTCCTAAAATTATTACTCAAACCACAACGATATCACAATGCAAAGGGAGCTTCACCGTAGAGGAAGACATGATGCTCATATCTTCATGGCTTAATATTAGTGTAACGAGTTGAATCAAATTGAATTTATATTTTAATCTCAGTTGGGGATTTATTTTAAATTATTAAACTCCATTCATTTTGGACCCAATTGATTGAATCGTGACCCGTTAGTAACCATGTCATATTGCTGTGGTTTTATTATTATTATTTGATTACCATAAAAGAGTTGTGAATATTTATGGTGTGTACCATTAAACAAAATATATTTTGTGGTGAGAAAATATTATATTTACTTTTGGCATTAAAGATGTTGAAATGTATTTTTTAATTGATATATATATATATATATGGTTAGATATTTGTTTAGTTAGATATTTGTTTAGAAAATATCTATAAATAGAACCTAAATAGATTTTTTTGTCAATTTTTGGGTTCTTGTCGTGAGAAAAAAAAGAAAAGGGGTTCCAAGTTAGTTTTTCTTGGGTTTGATCTAGTGTAAGTCATTTTTGACCCCTAGTGCTTTAGATCAAAACGTAGAGGGCGGAAACGACGTCGTTTGGCTTCGAATAGATTTAATTTCTGTTGCTAAAAAAATTGAAAGCTTCTTGGCTTGAGCTAGGGATTTTTCCTACACTTCTTTATACACTTTTACTTGATTATATGGAGCTTAGAGTTGTATATAATTTAATTAGAATTTTTGAAAAATTTGTGATTTATTTGCTTAAAAGAGAAATTTTGAGAAAAAAAGAGTTGATGCCCAAATTGCAGAAGTGTAAACTTAGAATATGTTTGTAAGGTTATGAAAGAGCGATGTTTTAAATTTGAACAAAAACGGATTTCGATTCAATCGGTTTTGAAATTTTTACCGGTTTGTGACCAAAAGAGCATTTTTAAAGAAAACAAAGGAATTATGTTTAACTTTTGGGGATTTTGATTAAAATAGGATGTCATAGTTGAATAATGCTTAGAGAATGAGTTTGGAAAGAAAATGATGTTTTATTGGCCATTAACGGTATTATTTTGCTTAATGTATATGTTGGAATAAAACCGACACGGTTAAAAATGAACCTTGAGAGGTTACCAGACGTGATTGTGATATGAAAACTAGTATAGTTGTTCATTTGATGAGATGTGGAATAGATTGTATTTATCTGAATTTTTAAAATTTAATTGTTTAAATATCTGTTTGGAAATATCTATTTTGGGCTATCAGTGGATGATAGCCATGATTGTTGTAGAAGTGCATGAGACTTAGGTAAATTGAACCACATTCCTCATGTGTTATATTGGACATTGCATTACATTCATTTCATTGAAAATGTATCTATTTTTGAGAAATGTTTGGAAATGTATTTGTTTGCGAAAAGATGAATGCTTGGTGAATCTGGGTAGGGGGTGTAGAACTGTGCGGTTAGGTGTCGAGCCTTTCAGTTTACTAGTAAAAATGACAGTGGTAGTGCATTAGGGCCTACTTGCAGACACTCACCTAGAGATTCACAGAGCCTGTATTCATGTAACAAATATGGTTTAAAATGTAAATGGTTTTATATCTATTGTTGCATCTCAGCATTGCATGCTTTATAAAAAGAGAGATAAACTGTTTTATCATGAGCATGGCATGAGCATACTCCTCTTCAGTCTTGTTATAGTTCATATATTGTGTAGTATATCTCTGCTGAGCTGTGGCTCACCCTGTAAGGGAAAACCATTTCAGGTACAGGTGATATGCCTCCGCCAAGGCATTGAATTGGGAGGACTCGGAGCTGAGTCTCCATTTTTGTTTTATGGTTATTTATTGAATGTAAGCCCAGGGCTGTATTTGTGTTGAGTTGAAACTTCATTTTGTGTAATCAAGAATATTCTTGGATAAATTTGTAAGCCTGTAGGGCATTATTATCTGCTTGGCTTCCATTGCATACTTGTTGTAAAATGTATGCTTGGGATTGGAACTGAGGCATTGAGATGTGAACATCATGTATTTGGCATTTGGGATTAAATAGAAATGGATGTATGGAACAATTAGCTGTACATATATGTGTTTGTCTATCAGGTGGGTTTGTTGTCTAAATAGATATACCTTGCCCAAATTTTTCGGAGCGTTACAGTTAGCTTAGATCCAATTAGAGGAAATGAGCAAAAGTGAAAGGCATAATGGTTAAGAGTGTGGGAGAGCTTCAACAAGTAAAAAACCTTCGATTATGAAAGAACTCAAACTTCTCTAATGAATCGTTGGTCGACAATTCAACTTGCCACAAATAAATTTTGTGGATGTTTTGCTCAAGTTGAACGGTTGAATCGAAGTGGTTCGACTGAAAAATACAAGGTATTACTAGAATTTAATTTTGTACCTATAATGAATATATATTATTCATTATGTGATAGTGGCTATTCTTTAATCTATTTTTCATATTCGGGATGCAAAAAAATTGTACAAAGACTTGTATTTATCGAACTTTCCCTTTGAGCATTGTTGGAATAAATTGAGATCCCAACCAAAATGGATGGAAGATACAACAACGAATAAGCAAAAAAACACAAAAATGCATCTCCGGCAACGTCTACCCCTTGTACACCAAATTCAGTAAATTTAGGGGACAATGATAACTATGATGTTGTGAAAAGACTAGCAGGAAGGAAGGCCGCAAAGAAAAACAAAGCCAAAGATCTTGGAAATAATGTTACAGAGTCGCCTTTTGTGAAGCTCTTAGAAGAGATAAAGGTAAAGAACGACATAACAAACGAGAAGAAAATAGAGATACTTGAGAAATCTTATCTTCAAGAGGAACGAGGATTGAAAATGAAGAAAGGAGAGAGGAACGAAGGATTGCATTGGAGGAAAGTAGGGAGGAAGAAAGAATCATGTCAATAGATACAAGTATGATGCCTCAATTGCAAACACAATATATTCGCCAACGCCAAATGCAAATCCTTGGAAAAAGGAATTAATTGTTTCTATTTAGCTTTGAAACTATGTTTTTATTTAATTTAAGTTTGGTTGTATTTTATTTTTGGATTTGTTGGCACATCTTGTATCAATTGAGGTTTCTTTGCTGAGTTGTCATGATGCTGAAAATAGAGATATTTTGTGATGTTTTGAGATAGTTTCAGTTGGGGTCACTGCTTGTTGTTGTTGATGGTTTGTCAAATAACTAAATTCATTACATCACTTTTATATGGCTTGTTGCTAGCACATTTTGTATTGTTTTATTTAGAGTAAAATATGTCCGTTAGAGAATAATACCGTTTGAAAATATGACCATTGAGAGAATATTACCGTTTGAAAATATGACTATTGAGAATATTACCATTTGAAAATATGACCGTTAAGATAATATGATTGTTTGAAAATATTTTTTTATAAATAATTTAATTATATATTTTAAATAAATAAATATTTGCAAATGTCACGTAAATATATGCAACATGTTATAAAAAGATTGTTTATTTATTTATTAATGTTTATAATAGTTTTCTTTTAAAAATTAATTAAGTTAGTTTGATTGGTTAACTAAAATAAAGAGCATGATTGAAGTATACACTAGCTAAACTAGTTAGGCAAAATAAAAAAGGTAGTTTTATGTGTACTTTGAGAAGACATTTTAGAAAAAATGGTTAAAGATGCTCTAAATGAGTTATAAATTTACTTCATAGACTTTTTAAGTTAGGGTTTGGTTATGGTGTGCAACTTACACCTTACACCTTATACCTTACACTTACACCTTTTGTAAAAAATTAAACCTTACACTTACACCTTTTTTGAGGTTGCACATGGTGTGCAACCCACTTACACCTTACACCTTACACTTGCACCTTACACTTATACTTACACCTTACATTTACACTTTTTGTGTAAGTGGCACATGGTGTGCACTTGCACACTTAAGAAAACTCCTTTAAGTTAAAATACTCCTAAATAGGATTTATCAATAAAAATCTCATTTAAAAAAAAAGAAAAAAGAAAAGGTTGGGAAATGTTTCTCACATATTTGTTTTGCTCGTTCAGTCGCTCACTCTGCAATTGGTCTACTTTCCTTAACGAATCCGAAGATTTCGAACCAGGCTGTCCTTCCGTTCTTTAGCGCTCTCTCTCTCTCTCTCTCTCTCTCTCTCTGCGCTTACAGGAAATGGCGGATGCTTACTGGAGATACGGCGAAAGTAGGCAACAGGCCAATCTTCCTCCTCTCATCGGAAAACGCCCTCGCTCCGACTACGGTACCATCTCCATCTCTCTCTCTCTCTTTCTCTCTCTCTCTATATATATATATATATATAATATACCTGTGTATTTGCGTGTCTGCTCATTATGTTTGATTTTTCTTGTTGTGGTGATTGAAGATGTTTTTAGAGCTGTTATTAGGGTTTTGGCGTATTTCTCGGTTTATTTTCCGAGGAAAAATGTAGATAAGTAAGAATTTTCCGATCTTTGATTTTCTCTTGTCTGGGTTATGAAATAAAACTATGATTTGAAACAACTGTTGACTTAGCGGGGGTGAGCTTTCAATTTCTTTGCATCCAAATCACCATAAAGTTTAAAATTTTGATGTTCTTGTTTTCTCCCCTTTGGTAGCAAGGAAATGTGGAGTGTAGTGGGATATTAATTTCTGTTCAGCTGGCGTGTTATTGGATTGATGCATATTTTCATCTCTCTCTCTCTGTATATGTGTTTGTTTGTGTATCTGGTTTTGGATAAATATATTTGCTCAATGATTTTTAATTCATTTTGTCCTTTTTTCTATTGTTTTTTATTTTCTTTTGTGTATCAAATGCTAGTTCACCTATGAATTGCACACTATGTACACACGGACATATATGCATATGTTCTAGATTATGTGTTTAATGAGTTGAATTATATGTTTTTTATTTTTTAGTTTTTTTAAGCAAGCAATAAAAGCCTTTCTATGTTGTTGGCATGCTAATGTGTGCCCCTGCAATCAAACTCAAGTTTTGGCTTGGTCTCGATACATTTTGACAACCTTACTAATGGAAAAAAGGGCAAGATGCTGTAGCAATCTATCTTACTAATAATACTAACCAAGGGCCTTTTATATGCCAAGACATTGTAAAGCTACAACTTAGAGTAGGCCTGGCCTTCTATGAAATCTAATTTCTTGCACTTTGCACGCCTTCACTTTGACTTAAGTTTCGCCTTGGTTCTAGTTTCAATTGTGACAGTCAAAAGTTTATATAGTTTTGGTCAAATTTTAGTGCCAACCTTGCATCAAATATAGCTCACATCAACTTTGATGGGGTGTAGGCATATGAGGGGATAACACTTTCACACCTAAGTTTCACTTTGATGCTTGGGATTTCCTCTTATAAATGAATTAGTTAGTTATATGATTAATTTCTGTACATATTCCAAATGGAAGTTGATAGAGAGATGGCATTGAAATTTGACCAGAACTACAGTTTTTTTTTTTTTTTTTTGAAATTTAACCCATAAATTCTAAAATCAGAACTTATAGACCAACTAGTCCTACAATTATTTTAATGAACACACAAGTCCTTATTTATGTAAATTGACACATTTACCACTATTTTTATGATATGGTCAATTTGAAGATTCTCTTCTTAATTTTAGTTGTTTGTCACATTTCAAAAAAATACACTATGGGTTTTTTTAGTCACATTGTTGGTTTGGACAAATCACATTCCACATTAAATTCACCCAAAATGTAGCATGCCCATTATGGAATTAACCCTTATGCCCATAGTTGTCAAAACGAGATTGAAATCGTGAATCGAAATGGCCTCGTATCGAATCGTTAATTTAATCGAATCGATTCGTGAATCGTAAAGATTCGGTTATTTTTCTAAATTACTTAGAAAAATATATCTACACACTTGAATGTTAAATATATCTTACGAATATGAAATATTTAGACTTAGATCAATGAAAATGTTGTTTTGAATGATGATCAATGAAGCATGGACACTCCAAAATCAGTGTCGAGGCGGTGTCCGACACGGGGACACGCCGAGGACACGTACGGGACAAGTCAGATGGCGTGTTCCTTTAATTTAATGATTTTTTTGTAAGGGACACAGCGGGGACACGCGTGTTCATATGGGGACACGGCAGCGACACGCGTGTCCATTTGGGGACACGGCATGGGACACGACGGGGCTAATTTTTTTTTTTTTTTTTTCCCTCTTATTTAGTGCTTTTGTGAAGAATATTGTTGATTGTTGAATGTTGAATGTTTTCCCCTTCTCGTCTTAGTTCTTATTATCATTTATTATGACTTTTTTGTTAATGGATGATCTATTAATTTGTTTAATGTAATGGTTTTATTTATTGAATTAATGTTACTATGTTAGTGTTAATTTTGATTTAGGATGAATATAATATGAATCTACATAACACATAGAAATAAATAAAATAAAATTCACCATGCCCTCCGCTATGTCTGTGTCTCCATTTTTTGAAAATTGCGGTGTCCGTGTCCATATCTGTGTCTGTGCTTCATAGATGATCACATAGTTTAATAGGTAATAAGTTAACAAAGATTCCTATATAAGATCACTATCTTACCTTTTCCTTTTTTTAGATATTTTTATCAATCATTCTTAATAAAGACAGTAAACAATGACAGACTCTCAATTTTCAAAGTAATAATAATTTGACAACAATATTGATATTTGGACAATAAGCATACATACTTTTCTAAGTAATAATGACCAAATAATAAGAAATAATTATTTAGGATATTTTGTTTTAAAGTATAAAACATTTTAAAAGGTATAACTGGCTTCACTCATGTAATATTAAATTATATTTAATCTAAGAAAATAATAATAAATAATTCATGGTGTAAGTTATTTTAATCTTAAATATATTTAGAAGATATATTATGATTTAAAAAAAAAAATGAGAAGAAAGGGTAAAACAATGTTTAATGATCACTCAAATAACAACAAATCATGTATATATATTGATTATTTTGGCATTAAACACTATTAGAACTTGTGTTATGTCATTTTTGCTAAAAGGAGAAAAAAGGGGTTGAAAATATGTCGGATATGATAATTTCAAGTGTTGCATGAATCGCAAAAAGTGAATCGAACTGTGAATTGATTGTGAATTGTGCGATTCACTAGAGATTCACTTCCAAAATAGATTCACCCATAGATTCATATTGATTTTGCAAAAATTGTGAATTGAATCGTGAATCGTAAGATTCTTATGCCACATTTCAAAAATCACATTCCACATTCAATCCGCCCAATTTGAAGATTCCCTCCTTAACTTTAGTTGTTTGTCACATTTCAAAAAAGTACACTAAATGATTTTGTAGTCACATTGCTAGTTTGGACAAACCACATTCCACATTCCACATTTCAGAAACCACATTCCACATTCAATCCACTTAAAAATGTAGCATGCCCATTATGGAGAAAAATTATTAAGTACTCTCAGAGTACCATGTGTTCATACTCCTTCACCAACCATCATTCACCATGCTTCCTCATGTTCCTCAATCACTCAACACAGTCATAATAGCACTCCTTCTCCACCAATCATAATATCATGGAGCGCCACGTGGCCGTGCTCTAGGAGTACCCAATAATCACTCCATTATGGAAATCAACCCTTATGCCACATTTCAAAAACCACATTACCAAAAAAAAAAAAAAATAATAATAATAAATAAATAAAAATGAGCCCAACAATTAGCAAGGGAAAAAATGTCTTAACATGATACAAAAATATATTAAACATGATCTCATAGAAAATACCAGTCTATAAAAAAAAAAAAAAAAAAAAGAAAAAGCAAGTCTAAAAAAAAAAAAAAAAAAAAAGAAGGACCTCATGGTATACAGTTATGAAGTGGGAGAATGATAGAACTGAGAAAAACCTTAAGAGTTACAGATTGGTTAATAAGGAGGTCAAAAAAGTAGTGAGGGAGACTAAGTTGAAAGCCTATGATGACCACCTATACACTGGACTAGATAGTAAGGAGGGAGAGAAGAGGACATACAAACTTGCTAAGATAAGAGAGGATAACAAGAGATTTTAATTAGGTTAAGTGTATCAAGAGTGAGGACTCCAAGGTGTTGTAAATGATGAAGAGATAAAGGAGAGGTGGAAGAACTATTTTGAAAAGCTGTTAAATGAGGAACATGGAGGTAGGTCAAAAGGGGAGGAAGTAAGTAGTAATAAGGAAAATCGGGATTACGGGTTCTATCGTAGGATTAAGAACTTTGAAGTGGAGATTGTAATTAAGAAGATAAAATTGAATAGGGCTTTAGGACCCGATGATATTCCTATTGAAGCTTGGAAATGTTTGCGTAAGAAGGGAGTTGTTTGATTGACTAGGTTGTTTAGCAAGATTTTGTTGACTAGAAAAATGCTAAAGGAGTGGATGAAGAGTGTTTTAGTGCCAATGTCCAAAATTGCAACACCTATAGAGGAATCAAGCTAATGTGTCATAAAATGAAAGTGTAGGAGAGTGATGGAACGTCGATTGCAAGATATAACAGAGGTCTTAGAGAATCAACTTGGGTTTATGCGTAGAAGTCTCTGATCTTCTTCTTTCTAAGGTTCTTCATATTTACGTCGCGAGTTCACATAAGAATGCTTTTTCCGATGCGCACGAATACTATGATCTAATATTTTGAGGAGTGTAATAGAAAAGTATAGAGAAAAGAAAAGAGACATTCATATGGTTTTTATCGATCTTGAGAAAACATATGATAGAGTGTTTTGGGATATAATCTGGTGAGTTTTTTTTTTTTGAATAAATTATAATCTGGTGGGTGTTAGAGAAGAAAGAGGTGACAAAATGTTACATTGATGTGATTAGAGTTATGTATGAAGGTGTGGTGACCATTATTAGATCGCCGGTTAGAGAGATGAGTGAATTTTCAATTACTGTAGGGTTATACAAAAGATTAACTTTAAGTCCTTATCTTTTTTTTTTAGTTATGGATGAGTTGACGAAAAATATTCAGGACGGTGCCATGGTGTATACTTTTTGCAGATGATATCGTGTTAGAGCAACTCCAACCACACTCTCTACTTTTCACTAGCTAAAGTACAAAAAAAGTACACTATTTATTTTACCTAATCACTTTAGCTATTGTGTTCTCCAATCACGCTCTTTATTTTAGCTAATCATTTAAACTAACTTAATTAATTTTTAAAATAAGAAAATATTAATTGTTGATATTTTACTAATATAAATTTGCAATATAATAAATTTGCCCAT